AGGTGGTCTGGGCACATTGAAAGAGATCTTTCATATTACTTCTTGGGTCCAACTAGACATTCACCATAAAACTATAGGTTTATTAAATGCTAATTGTTTTTATGATAAATTGTTGTCTTTTCTTGATCATGCTGTGGAATAGGAATTTCTAACATCTTTGGCAAGAAAAATCATAATCTCTGCAAATATTGCTAAACAATTAATTAACCAACTATAATCTTTCACTCCTGTAATTGATCCCTTCATGAGTCGCATAAATTGATCAACTAAAAAAAGTCGTAAAAAGCGTATATTGGATTTAAGCCTTCATTTGTGAATCCTTGTCTTTTGGTTTTCTTAATAGTATATTATTTTATTTTGTTATTTTTTATATTTATTTAAGTGTGTTTCAGGTGATGTCTTCTATACTCTATTTTTCTATATTAGAACATTGAGGACAATATCTCATTTTGAGTGGGGGAAGAGGGTAGTAATTGGTATTAAAAAAAACTAATTGTGTTTTTTTTTTCATAAATCATTTGCAAATTGTTGTTACTAAGATGGTAGAGTAAAGAGAAATTTTATTGACTCTTGAGACGTATCTTGGTTAACATTTTTCAATGGTTATTTTCAATATTCATAACAAGGTCTATCAAAATATTTCTTAAAATATTCAGGTTTACAAATTCTCGTATTGTTATCACTTAATTCTGATTATATACTCATTTAACAAGTATTCTTAAATATTTATTTTCACACACACACACTTTAATACATGATTGCGAGTTGCACATTGGATTATTACATTGTTTATGTTCTTTTATTAATGGTAACAACTAAGGAAAATGGATAGTATATAAATTGCAAAAACAAAAATAAAAAAAAAATGATGATAATAAAAACGTAGATAAGTTTGGTTTTGTAGCCTTCCTAACCTAAGTAATTAAGCATGAATGGGTGTTTTAACACCTAATACACTAAATCAATTGACTTGGAAGCTATTAGCCTAATGCTTGTTACATGGGTTGAGGAGAAAAGCTTAAGCGAATCAAATATTACACTATCTATGTATCAGTATCTACAACCTGAGTTACTAAGCTCGTAAGGATGTCTCAACACCTAATGCCCTAAAACCAACTGGTTGGGGAGTCATTAGTTGAAAGCTCATTACATGGGTTAAAGATACATTGTGTTTTTAAGTTACATGTCTATATATTTAAAAAAAAAAAAAAAAAGAAATCTCAACCCAGGGAAGTTAACCTTAAATATTAGAATAAAAATTTTATTTCCTTCCAAGTAAGACCCCATAACTATATATTGATATATTAAGCACAAAAGAAAGGTTTATTAATATTTTGTTTAAGAGGTATTGAGCTGATATATAAATTGAATGAGAGTTTGTTTATCTGGATAGATTAATGGAAGTTGAACGATGAATGTCTTGCTTTATAGAATTTATGAATTATTTTTTTTATTTTAATACTTTGATTACTAAACACTAGTAAGAAGCTAGTTGAGTTGTGCTATTAGTACTTAAAAATATATTTTGATCAAGGTTTTATATCATCATTTTGCATTTAAAGTATCAATAACTCCTTAACTAAAGCATGTTTGATAATAACATGTCTAATAATATATGATATATTTAATTTGTGGTAAATTTTTATCTTAAATGTAGGCCTATCACATAAATGAAAGGATTTATTAATGAATTTAAGTATTAAAATTGAAAGGACAAAGAGATGGCCAAACTTAGAAAAGAGATACTGGTGTTGTCTAAACAGGAACACTATTATGTAATTGGGTCATATCTGGAGCTGTAGATCTCGAATTTAGGTCTACTTTATATAGATGGAAAGCTAAGACATGGGCTTACAACTTTCATGTGGAGGTCTAGTTTTAAAAAGACCATTTTCAAGTCCAAATATGTTCTGCAGCCTAGACATTGTTCAGTGTTCAGCTTATATCTTAAGTTCTACAAGTCCAAATGACCTCAATTTTATTTTCTGGAAAGTTTAAACAATTTTTTAAAATTTTGATGTAGATGTCTGGTTCAAATTATGATGTTATCAATGACGTTTTATTCAAATAAAAGAACATAAAGATTGTCACCAAGTCAAGAGTTGGTCACCTACTCATCAATTACTTATCAAATCAATAGTTCTCAATTTTAGCCTATAAAAAGAGGCATTTACCATGCATTTAGGCATCTTGGTGTCCAGATCAAGATCATGCTCTTGTTTTCTCTCTTTGTAATTTTGTAATGCTAAAGTTTTGCTTTCATTAATATCTTGTTTATGCCTTTCATTTCATTTCCTTTACTTAGTTAACTTATATCTTATTTATGTTATTATCTTGTTTATTTATGTTTCTTTTTTTTATTATGTTGAGCTAAGTTTATTCTGTCAAGGTGGAAATATTATACTAATGGTGTAAGAATAAATATAGTGTAAACTCAACATGGACCTTAATGTTTGATACTAACATGTTTTGTATTTATTATCTTATTCACTTTTAATGCTTTGCTTGTTAAATGGTTAATCTAGATTTATGTTGTATAACACTTGGTACAACAAATACTTTATACTTTTATAGCCCGATCGTATAGTATAACCTATACTTGTGCTATGAAAGGAACTTGATTTGTTGTTAACATAAGTTATAATCATGAATGTTTGACAATATTTACAAGTATTAGCATTATTTGAATAAGATAATTAATATGATCATGTTAATAATTTATAATCTGATTGGAACCTCCTTTGTGTGTAGTTTTCATTTGAGTAATAAGAGTTTATACTATAATTGTTTAAAATATTCTTAGTGGATTCTCTAACCTTGACATTTTTTATTATCACTATTTAATACTCACATTAATCTTTCATCTCAAAGTTCTCGTAAACTTCTTCTTCTTCTTCTTTTTTACTACTACTACTACTACTACTATTAGTAGTAATAGTAGTAGTAGTAGTAGTAGTATTACTATTACTATTACTATTACTATTACTATTATTAGTAATATTATTAATATTATTACTACTATTATTGTTGTTGTTATTTATAATTTATATAATTAATTTTTTTATGGTTCGATCTCGGTCTTACTAGATTATTTATTATTTCGACATTCTTACATTTAAAAAAAAATTAATTTTTTAATTATATCCTTCGTAATACTGTCGATTCTTTTAGGCGAAGGCAAGGAAGCTATACAAAAAGTAGCCATAAAAAAGGAAAAAACGAAAGCCAGGAAAGTCTCAAAAACATAAAACATACTCAAATTGAACTTTATATATGAATTAATAAAACAAATTAATTAAGTACGGGGATTACATCGATCACACTCAAATTTATTTTATAGCATGCAATATCAAATGCCAGGTCCACATACTGTGCGCCATAGCTGGGCATCCCGCCTCACAACGTATGAAAATTTAAAAGGAAGAAAAGAGCGCCCTCAACAACATTATTTTGTGGCAGTATGAGCTACAAGGAAGCGTAGCAGCTGATCATTTACTGGAAGAGCTCGTCTGGAATGACCTCATCATGGCAGCAAAGGAAAGTGGAGAATTTCTCCATGGTGCGGTGGCACTCTGGGCATTTCATGGTCTCAGGGATCCTACCCGTTGTTATTGGGAAATCGAAGCGGCTGCAAGGACGAGCAATGTCATGGATCAGGCCTTGGTGATCACGGAAGGCCAAATCAAAGCCCTTGACAGGCACCTGTCCCTTCCACAAGTCATACTCAAGCAATGTTTGCAAAGCTGTGGTCTTGTGACCATTGGCCACAACATTAGACCCATTGCTAAGCACAGCCCATCCACCTTCTCTGTCGTAGCTAAGCAACTTCTTGATTTCTTGCATCAAAGGATCATGGTCATCAAGCTTGCCTAACTGAATCTTGGAGTACAGCATACTCTCTAGCCTGGTCCAAAAGAACCATATCATGGTAAGGTCTTGCCAGAAGTAACTGAGCTTCTCCCCGGTGATTGTCGCTATGACTCGCCTGATTTTCTCTCTTTTGCTGCTCTTCCCCACATAAACCATCTCCAGGGGAATGCGAGCTGACTGCGCCACAGTACGCGCGGTGTTTGTGAACTTCCTCACCCATTCATCGTCGTCTCCTCCGTACAAGAAAATGTACTTTCCTTCCTTGATCTGGTGATCAAAAAAATATTGAAGCAAATGTCAACACGATTACACAGACACACGTATAATGTATGTATATTTGGATTGATGCTATAATGAATTTACCCAATTAAGAATCACTGGGTCAATGCCATCCACTAGAAGCTCAAGCCTCCATGTCTCATCCCTCCAGAGAGATTCCTCTCTCAAGCTAGTGAAAGGGAAGGCACTGCTTCCCCATATCCACATCATGTGGAGTGCATTTGGGCAAACCACCTTGCCTTGCGGGTCAAGCACCACAAGAATAGGCTTGTTCCTGAAGTGCCACACCTCCTTAATAAACCTTATGACTGCCTTCTCAATCAGTGAAGGGTGGTACACTGTGAACCATGGCATTGAAGACTGCATGCTTTCAAATTTCTCTTTCATTGGATCGCTCTGGACTGAACGGTCCACAATTGGGATCCAGACCACCTCATACTGACTATCCAGCCTACCTTCGTGATGCCTGGATTCATTGTATATCTGTTCAAGAATTGAAAGCTCATCGTTCGACATGTCGAGGCCAGAAATAAGCAATAGCACATTTTTCCTTCTTAGCACATCAAGATGGACCTGTTAAATTCAAAAGGCAGTATGAGAAATGTTTTACAATATATTGATAACATAAATAGAAGAAATGGTGGAAGAGCGAACTCTTTTCTTGGAAGAGCCATCTATAAGTGGCTGGATATCATCCTTGGCATAAATCAGGGCCTTTAGGACCTTCATGTTGTCAATGTGGATCGTTTCAAAGAGATTCTTTAGCATTTGAAAGGATTCGACATTTCTCTTTTCATCTGCATCAAACACCATTGTTTATATAAGCGTTCTCGATCAATCTTCGTACATTAATTTCCTGTTTTCTTATTACGTATCCAACACATGATATACAAAAGTTGGTGAGGTGCAGACCTATGTGCTGGTAGCAAGTATCCAATTGCTTCCTAAGATGGTCAAGTATGTTACTGAGTTTGTGAGCCAAGCTGGATAGCTCCCATGCCACAGTGGTTGATATAGAAAACCTGAAATAAGTGAAGGAGAATATTACTAGGAATACATGCTTGATGTAACATATGGCTCAATAAATTAAAGATGGTGAGCTAGAAAAGCATACTCGTGTCCCATGGTAGTGAGGCTAGTAATCTGAGCCGCACAAGCCACAACGCTCCTCATGGTCCAGTAGACAGCAATAGGGATATGGGCCATGGCTGTGGACAATGCTGGTACTTCATTAGATATGTAAGCTGGCGGTAGATCCTTGAACTCAACCACGCACCTAGCCACGTCCATCATGACCTTGATCAGATTGTTAATGGCATCGAAGCGAGGCTTCAAGGGCCCTGAGTGTTCCATGATGCTAGGCAATTGCCTGAGTATTGCCATGGATTTGGCAAGTTGGTTTGATGAGTAAATCTGGGCAAGCAGCCAGAACTCTCCATAATTCAAAGCAAAAGCTGCTAAGGTGAGCACCAGCTTGGCATCCCAGGAATAGCTTGTTAGCATGTTGAAAAGTGATACAGTTGTTGCGTGGGCATCTGTCCCATCCAGTGACTTGTAGGCAATCTGCAGAAAGCAATTAAGGCCGAAAAATTTCAATGATTCTTTAGATTATTGCCTATATACCATAGCATTAAAATAGAAATATATTGTCTAACCTCGCAGGAAATTCTGTCTATTGTATACGACAGTGCATCGAGCATGGAAACAAAATTGATTTGGTGAGTCTTGTCCTCCAATTCAGCATGGGCTTGGGAAGTCTGCGTTTTCAGACGTGATCAGAGTAACATAAATGAACAAAAAATAATAGAGCTAAGTTGATATTCAAGTTAATTTCCAAGGATGAGTTTAGTTTAGTACTATACCGTTAGAGAGGTATCGATTTGCTGGGTGGCACGTTTGAGGATGTCTTCAACGAGATGGAGAAGAGGTTTGACATCAACCTCTCGGCCATCAGGAGCATGAGTTCCTACAATTTGTTTCATCATCACATTGTCATCAGACATTGTTAGCATGCTGCCGCGGTCACCCTTGATCAGTTGCTGGCTCGCATTAAAACCATGGGCAGGGTGCCTGAGGTGAAGGCCTGATGCCATGGGGTCTAATTGAAAGCAATTAATGGATTCTTTGGGTTATGGGGAAGTAGAGAAGATTGGCTTGTGTGTCTTGTTCCATATCTGGCATGCCTATTTATACTATTAGAAATGGAATAAAGCTCAATTGAATCAACTTCCTTACTTCCCTATTAATCAAAATATTGGGGACGTTAAGGAGAAGGCTATACTTTTGTGGTCCCTACGTCTACCCATCATCCTCATTACTTTATATAATATGGATTTTACCCTACAAATCTGCTCAACACTCCATGACGATGATATGTTTGGAACCTTTTCAGCTTTTTGTATTTTCTAGCAATTTGGGAACTCAATCACAAACTCCCTTTAATTTCTTGATAGCTAATTAACATACAAGTAGGTTAATGGTACATTTGCTCCTAGTGTTCTTGACATTTACTCAATGTTGCCCCTCTGCTCAGTTCTTAGTTGATTCCATAACTAAAAAGATATGGAAGAGATGTATAATTGAGTGATTAATGTAAGATCCAGTTATTTAGTCCATGCAATATCACACAAATAAAAGGAAAGAAATAGCAATAACAATTAAAGTACTGTTGTGTTTATTTGGCCTGGAAGTCGCTTAGTTGAACAGAGAATACTCAGTATCATCAGCAGATTCTAATGATATTTTCCGCTAGAATGTAGAGCCACGATCGAGAAGGGTGACTGACCAATCCTGTGCTTGGCTTCCTTACTTGATACCTGTTTTTACGTGTGCCAGTAATTATCGGGAGTTTTCTTCTTTCTCGAGAGACAAAAAGTGAAAGAGAAGTAAGATATGATTCCTTGCTTTGCTGGAGAAAGACCAGAAACTTGATTTACCAAAATATACCCACTGTATTTACCAAAATATGCCCACTGTTGCGTTCTTGTCTCATATTAGTATGCTTTTGGTTCGAATCTTATCAAGCGGCCGTTAACTCTGGAGACTGCATGCCGACATAATTAGGCTCCATGAAGGCATGGAATTATAAGTGATTCTGATAGGCATAACTATTATTTTCAAAAAAAAAAATGATTACTATTATTTATGGAGAAGAAGTATTAAAGGAAAAGGTCGGAAGAATTTAAACTTTGGAGGAGGTATGACTATTATAGTCTCCTGTAATTCTTAAAGCGAGGCCAAATCAGTGATTTGGGATGGAATATCATTGAATATCTATAAAGTTTTTAGTCAAATTATTAATAGCTTGTAGATGGTATGTCTGTTACTGGTTGTTTCAATTAACCAGTAATTCAAGATGGACGAGCAATTCTTTTTTTCTTTTTTTTGGTTACGCAAGAAAACTTGGAAGACCAAGAACAAGAATATTAATTCTTTAAAAAAATAAAAAAATCAAATCAAATCTATGCACCTAATTAACCTTAAAAAAAAAAAAAGAAGTACGCCTAGAATGTCAAATCAACACCCTTTTTAACTTTTTTTTCTATTAAATAAATAGAAAGATAACAAATGATTTATCTAATTTAAAAAAAAAACTCAGAAAATTCATCATTTATTTGTGCAACTGATGTGTCATCCATAAGTATATTTTTTGGCCGCCTCATATGACTAGAAAAGTGAGGTTCAAATTTTTAAATCCTAAAAATCTAATATTCAACATGTTGTATCATATATAAAAACATTTTAAAAATCTTAATAAAACTATTTACAACCCCTCAAACACTCTTTACTCACTCTAAAATATGAAAATTTAATAAAATAAAAAAGAATTTACAGGCTTCAATCTTTTCTTTTCTTTTCTTTTTTATGTTCAAAGAACAATAATACCTACATTAAACTTCCCTTTTCATAATAAATTTATTTACACAAAGATGAATTTTTCATGACTATATTAATATGATTGGACAAACTTTATCCCTGCTCTTTTAACTTCTAAGAACTAAAACATAATAGACATTAAAGATAGAAATATAAATATCTAATAAAGCATGAATTAAACATGAAAAAAGAAAAATTAAGGATTAAATTGAAATGTTCCACACTTTGTGAATAATTTAAATGGAAAAAACACTATTATTATTTTATACTAATTTGATTCTGGTTCATTCAATTATTTTAATAGTAACCTAAAATTTTATTTTACAATATTGGTGGAGAGGTTAACAGATCACATAAGCAAATATGTGATGCTAAGTCGCGTTAATATTAAACTATTTGATACATCAACCAACATTAAATATCTTTTTTAATGATTTTATGAGCACTTCTGGTTAATATTGATATTAATAATTGAACCTAAACACTTAAAAAATAAAAACATATATTCATGATTGCTAATCTAACCCCTTGACATTTGAAAGAGTATGTATTAGAAACCCAACTAGATAATTATCCTTGCTATAGGTGGATTAACACAAACTAGCAACAACAAAAAAAAGAACCTTCTACAACCATAATATTACATCATATCGATGAAAATATATGTAGGTATTTAAACATTGTTTCTTTAATGAAAACCTTTACAAGCATAATCATGAATAATAATTGGTTGTTGAAAACCTATCATCAATTATTTTTATTTTTTAATCATTTTATTGATAATATAATTACTAATAAATTTTCAAATAAAAAACATGCTAATAAAAATAATTTATTTGTAATTTTTTGTTGGTTCTTCCATCACTAAGTATAGCAAATCTCTGAAAAAATAAACCTTTGATAATTTAATATGTTATTTAATTCATATTATCAACAGAATTATTATGTCAATGAATCATATAATTTTAATGGCAATCATTATAATTCTTTTGAACTCTCAACCTTTTTTATGGATTTTTTATGTTAGTAATTCCTTTTGTATTGGGTAGTAGTGAAGTCTTGTAATTGTTTTTCAAATATTTTAAAAAAATTTAGAAACTTAGTTCGTCAAAAATTTTATTTATAATTTTTTTCCAACTCTCTAGAATTTTATGAAAAACTTGGTATGTCAGTTATTTTGTTTATAATTGATATTTTGTTTGTAATTTATAAAATATTTATTAAATAAATAAAATAAAAAAAATTATAAGAAATAAAACTAAAATAAAAAACTAAATTTTTATTATTTATTTAAAAAATATTCATTTGAATATAATTTATCAAGAAGATAGAAGTTAGGGCAAAAAGAGGCATATCTTTACCCAAATTAAATGGGTAACAAGATAGATTATATGGACCATTGAACTGTTAGTAATAGTTGCTAATATTGAAATTAAAATTTTTAAAAAATTTTAAATTTATTATTTATATTACATCTATCTATTTTAAAAAACTCAACAATAAGATAAAAGTTTAGGTTGGACAATTAAAATTGTAGATCACATGTAATTGTTATTGGTATAATTTGAATTAAATTTGAGTGCAATTTTTTTTTTAAAATAATTCTCTCTCATGTTTTCTTTTTTGTTTTAAATGATGCCGTGATTCGTGTTCCCATCAGATCTAGTCGAATTTTCCAGCTCATAATTGTTGATTTTTCCTCGAGTACGGAGGCTGAGAAAGCCACCAATAGTGGCACCAGCATTTTAGGCGCTTCTGGTTATGCTTCGCACATAGCTTGCAAGCCACTAGCAACGAGGCAACAGGCAACTGCCTCGCCACAGTAGCACCAGACGATGATGGCGCTGATGAGCACCCAAGCGCGAGGCTGATGCCTCATGTATGAAGGTTGTTGTGGGCGATGACGGCATGGTTGCTACCAAGATAGCTGCTAGCAGAAGCAGCAGCAGCAGCCTTTGTAGCCACTGCTAGACCAGTAGCTGAAAGAAAACGATGAGGGGTAGAATTACAATTCTTCTCCTGACCTTTTATTATATTACAATAGGGTTTTTAAGGCCAAAATTATGATTTAACCCTATTCTAATTCAATATTATAATAGGCTAATTTTAGGTAAAATGTTCATTTTATATATTAAAATTAAAATTCTAAATAAAATTAATTATAGAATTAATTTTATTTATAGGATTGAGATTGAATTAAAATGTTTAATTTGAATTGTTTTAGTTTTGTAATGTACTAATAAGATTAGGATTTAATTAAAATGTTTAATTAAATAATATTTAGAAAAAATAGTTTTTCTAAAATAAAGAGATTTTTTTAAGTGATTAATTTTCTTATTAAATTCTAAAAAATGGTTTTAATAGTTTTCAATTCCTTTTTTTAAGTGATTGAATTAAAGTATGCAATATTTATGCATATTAAAGTGTAATTATGTATGATTTATGATTATAGACATTAAAAATTAATATAATTGTTTTTTCTATTGTTGTAATATTAGAGCATGCATATTCTGTCTTTTTTCTATGTTTTTTTTAGGGTTGTTTTATTTATAATGCTTGTACTCTTAGATATTGATGGGAGATTAAGAGATTGATCATAGTTATTTTCAATTTAATTTTATTTATCCTTTCTCGAGGACGAGCAAGAGCTAAGTGTGGGGGTATTTGATGTAACCATATTATTCGATAGTTTCACCTATATTTACCTAATGTTTTATCCATGTTTTATATGTAAAATGCCTTGATATTCTTTGTTTTATGTTTTGAAGGCACTTTTGGATGAAAAATGCAAAAAGGAGTAAATTGGAGATAATTGACAGATTTGATGTTCAGTCGATGTTTTATGTAGAGCATGAGTTCTAAAGATCAAAATGAAGTGATTCTAGTGGCTCTAAAAAGCTAACATCCATACCTTTCTAGAAATGTAATGCAAGAAAAATAAAAAGAGGAAGATCATGGAAATCACATCCTTCAAAGTCAAATCTCGCATTCTGCCACTATTGACCTTTGTCCATTAAACATTCCATATCTAGAGCTATAGAAGTCCAATTGATGCAAACTCAATTGTTTTGGATTCTGGACTCAAAGTTCTAGAAACACTCCAAATTTCAGCCAAAAACGATGTCAGATGAGGGAGATATGAGTTTTCAAAGATGACAACTAAATTCTGCCAGCAAACCAGTTTTGTGAAGAAACGAATCCAAATTACATCTCGAAGCTTCTAAACCATCATCCAAGTTGTAATTTCAGCAATTTAACCCCTC